ACTGCTAACCTGCACAAACTCACGCCTGCTGGTGCCCGCGCCGAACCTAAACAGGGTGCCTTTGCTGTTGAGCATGGTGGAGGGCGCGGGCACGGGCATGGCCGTGGACGTGGTCGCGGACGCGGTCGTGGACGTGGTCGTGGCCGTGGTCGCCATGGTATACACCACGGGCCCCACCCAAAGAGTGATCGCGTCAATGCCAACTGTGAATTTTGTCGCATCTATGGCCACGATGCATCTCAGTGCCGCAAGAAGCGCGCGTACGAGAAGCACAATGGCAAGCAGTTTGCGGCCCCCATCATGACCGCGACCTTGTCTCTTCCTCCCCCCTCCCATTTGCCCGCTGCACCTGCTGCTCCTCCTTCCCATTTGCCCGCTGCTCCTGCTGTGAATTATTCGCCCGCACAAACACATTATCGTCACCACGAGTTGTTCTTGACCTGTTTGTCAGCCACCAACCTGGCCACCAGCAATCGTGCATTGGTGGACAGTGGTGCCACTGCTCATTTTTTTGTTGATCGTGATTTATTTCATGATCTTGCTCCAAGCTCTGAGACCATTGTGACTGCCAACGGCGTGACGGCTGCTGAGGCCGTCGGCTCCGTATCTTTGCTCGTGACTGATGTTGATGGTGTCTTGCGCCCCATTGTTCTTGATCGTTGCTTTTATGTGCCTTCTTTTTCTCACAACATTGTCTCGCTTTCTGCCCTTGTTGATGCTGGTTTTGTCGTGTCCTTGTCTGACTCGTCTACATTTTTGTTGAGTGATGCTGATGTCACTTGGTCTGCACCACGTGATGCGGCTAGTGGTGGCTTGTTTTTCTTTTCTTTTCTCCCAGCTCACCACCTGCACCACCAGCGCCACCACCAGCAACAACAGCATGCCCATGTTGTGTCTGCTTCGCAGATGCATCGTCTTCTTGGCCACCCGCCGCGCGAAGTTTTGCGCTCCATGCTGCAGCAAGTTGAAGACACCTCGGACGTCAAGGCCATCCTCAACTGCAACGATTGCAACCTCTTCAAAGCTAAGCGCCTTGCTCTGGCTGGCTTCGATCGCGACCGCACGCCCCGCATGCCTGGTGAACTGGTCGCTTCTGACATGTTTGGCCCGCTTCGCTCCCCTAGTATCAAAGGAGCGAGGTACATCATTGCCTATCGGGATGTGGCGACGGGCTTTCTCTGGCTCGACCCTGTCTGTCGCAAGGACGATCTGGCTGAGAGCTTTGCTCGCCTGATTCGCGACTCG